GGCCGAACTAAGAGATGGCCTAGGATCAAAGGTGTTGGTCCGACCTCAGAGGAATGATACCGTCAAAGGATCGTGTGGGAAGCTCGGTGGCGATCTGGAATCTTTATGGTACCCAGGATATCCAGATACAACCTCATGTCGATCCGAGATCTGGTGAAAAGAGCAATCCCGATGCTGTCGAGCCCAAAGCAGGAAAGGCTGATTCGATAGTGATTAACACCGGGGACGAGGGAAACTCCCATCATTCGATCGCTAATACCAGTGAGGCCGAAGGCATCACTTCTGTGGAAGGGCCCAATGCGGCCAAGGTCAGCGTAAGCAATGCTCCTGACTCGGTGCGAGAGGTGGTGGAGGAGGAAGTTCAACCGACGGCTGCAGACGGTCGGTTCAAGAAGGAGGGCTCTGATGATCTGGAGAGGGTGGCATCAGCATCAAGGGTCGATGATGGGACTGGCCCTGAGAAGAGCTCAGAGAGTGGTAATGAGATGGGCATCTCCCCTTCAACCGGGCGGATGAACTCGCGGGAAGGGGATGGACCGACCGAGATTATTGTGAACAACGAGTCTAGTGGGGAGGGAGCTATGAGTAAGTCTCATTGAGTGTTGGCTGATTGTTAATAACAATTTGTTATGGGCCCACTTCTCAGGGTCATTTATAGCCGTCACCGTTGTGACAGTCCTGTTGGTGGCAGCTGTCATTGGCTCTTTCCTGTGTGCTAAGGATACCATCCAAACACAAAGAAGCAGGACAAGGTACACATTTCATTTCTTATTACATCGACACCTTAATGGTGGTAGATATGATGGTACTGGTCATAGGGTGAGGAAGGTCAACATACCATCGCCTGGAAGACGATACAATCTGGTTCGACCATTTGCAGGGACGGTCCACACAGTAGGGCAGGAGTAGCATGTCCCAACTATCGAACCTCATCATCGTAGGGAAGTGGAGGTTCCTCATCGTCCTCAGCATGTGCTTGAAGGATGTCCCGAGCTTCCCTCGATAAGCCCATGTTTTTGGCCATTGCCATGCACTGTTGTGCTATAATCCATTGCTAGTTACCATG